TTGTTTAGGTTTTTGTTTTTCAAATTTATCGGGTACTCTAAAACCTTTTGGGCAAGGGTCAGGACTCTCCTCTCAGAATCGAAGTTCTCTGAAAATGGTCTGCCAACTTCGCACAGAGATCATCCAGTTTTATCCGCAACCGACGAAAGAAGCGCAGCGAGAGTGAGGCGAGGAATGAGAAACGGTGGGCAGGAAACGGCACGACAGAACGATGCCAGCTTACGATAATTATACGTCGACGGGACAACTCCACCCGTATACGGCCGTGATTCGAACCATTCCTGGAGCCGCCGACCCGGTCTGCCTCGCGGCTCAACTCGACTCAACTCGAGTCGACTTGGTGCGGCTCCACCGTGACGGATGAATCATTGTCTGTATTAAGTCCTGACTGACATACGCGCGGTGCATACCACCGAACGAAAGCAGGCACGGTCTCTCGGGTCTCTCCGTGTCATGATTTTCTCTCACTTAAGTATAATTGATGAGTTAATTGAATATTTATGCCTGGACATAGATGCATGGCACAAACAGCTTCACCCAGATTTACTGACAAAAATATGTGTGCGAAGGTATCTCCTTCATATGATTGACTCTTTCTCGCGTTGGGTGTCCAGGACACCCCCAGCTTTATAAATTTGCTCTAAATATATAAATACTATTTATATACATTATTATATTTAGCGCAAATTATTTCATAATTAAAAACATTTTTTGCATTTATCTTTATCTACAGAATATATAAAATATTATCAATATTACCAAATATATTATCGAATAAATATTATTAGAATATTATCAATCTTTATTTAATTGTAAATCATCAAAGAGGACAATAAAAATTGAGATATACAGCCTTGACCAAAAATATTAAACATCTAAATTTTTTTAATTTATCTGGAATTCATTTACCAGCATTATATATAAAGGATTTTTTAGACAAAGAATAATTTACAGCAAAAGCTATACATAAATCAATTTTTGAGCTAAAACTTTAAATAATGATTAATAAAGTGCTTAATATTTTTGGCCAAAGCTGTAACGTTGAAGTGTCAGAAACATTCCATGCGAATAACCACGTTAAAGAAACCACGCGAGTAACGTAGGATTAAGCGAGATCATTTTAATTAATATTAAGTTTCACGACTTAAAAATTTGGAAGATTCTGAGACTTGAAAATTCAATTACGATTTTTCTTTTACCAGTCGTAATGGAAAATACCAAGAAGCAGCAATAATTACACATCTCTTATTAATCTGATATCGTATAATCTCGCTTACATAAACGAGCAATTTAAAATAATTATCCATCTATTAATTATCACAAGAATTCATTCGACAAAGTATTTACTGTTAAGTTATTATTTAATCTAATCAGTAAACTTGCAACGTGGCAAGTGATTGTCTATATAACGGTGTTTTTCTCTATCAATTTTATCTACCATGATCAATCTAGAAAACACTTAGCAAGAACTTTACATTTAACAATGATTTATAAGTACGGCTGACATGGTACAAAATTACTAGATAATAAGATACTTCATACATATTTTATCAC